GGTGGTCTTCCAAAACTGTTGGATACCTGGATACCATTGCAGGGCATCAGAACGGTAGCTATTTCCAGACCAGCTCACTAGATTCAGTAGATGTGAGAAAGCTGCATCTGTTCTTTGCTGGGCGTTGGCCTGCTGCCATATCTCAGCACTATAGTCATGGATGGATGCATGAGTCCAAATAAAGGTTGAAGTTTCTTTGCGCCTTCTGTCTGACTGTTTGGGGCCTGAAGAGTTTTCATAGTCTCAGCCCACAGCTGCCCCTCCTATCTTCATCTCAATCAATTTGTTCGTGCTTCATCATCATCATTATTGATAGTTGTTTCTCAAGCATCGCTGGCAATCAGAGCCGCTGCTGGGGTGAAAAACTCCATGCAAACAGTCCACAGGACAGCACAACAGGATAAGCATACGATATGCAGCTATTCTCCTCTCCCCCTCTCTCTCTGTAGAATATGGTTTGATACGTCTTTTCTCGTGGTGAGATGTGCTGATGAACCGTCAGTAAGTCATGGGCCTTGCGCGGCTGAATGACCTGCCCCTTGCTCCATGCTTTTCCAAGAGCTCCAAAGAGGTGCAGTGGCAACATCGAACCTCTTCATAGGAACTGCAAATAGATCCCGGAAAACAGATCGTCACTGCCAAGTGGATAAACAGCCCATGAAGATCAACACATGAGGCGTTCTTTCAGCAACTTGTGAAAGGTGGCTCACCGTTTGGAGTAACTCAGTCTGTCTTCCGGGTCTTTAGTCTCGGAAATAGGAAGGACATCTTGTCCTGCAATCATAAAAAGAATTCCATATCTGTTCCGTAGAATTGTCTCCTTTGTCACCCTGCTGTCATGGGACATGTCCGCTACGCCCACAAGAATCTAGTAGGGAACCTCAAAACAATGGTATCGGAGGATCAATTTCCTTTTTCAGCATTTCTATTTCTAGCTTCTCAATTCCCAAATGTTCACCTTTCGGCAGCGTAGCAGTGTAGCGTTCCCCTACATCTACTATAGCTTCACAAGTTCACGTCTCAAGCTCAGTCTCAGCCACTGCCAATCCTACTGCCTGGAAGGTGTTTGTTTTTGACATGCATGGGAGTCATTGGAGGCTCATGGTTGACTTTGGACAAAGCCTGAAAGGAAGCAAGGACTGGAACGATTCCAAGTGACAGCTGTCCAAAGTGAAGGCACTGAACGTGAAAACGTGAAATCTGACAGGACTTCAAACTGCAAAGAATTTCTGCAGGCCTTGCGTAGGCCGCCCTGGCCGACCTCGCATTGGCTCCAAACAGCTCCAGTGTCTATGGCCTTGGCCTCCAGCTCAAAACAAAATCGACTTAGTACTGACCATATGACCATCCAAATGACCTCAAATTTCTCAAAAAAGAAACAAAAACACACGGAAGGGAAGGAAGACTAATATACTGAATCAGGCCTTGATGTGGTAGCCAGATCTCTTCACTGGCCCTCTGCATTCATGCCAAAAATTCCCACCATCTTCTCTCTGCTTCGTAGCTATCATCCAGCGGCTAGGAATAGGTCAAATTTGCCATGTCCACTGAGACTGCAACATTGGCCCAATTGGCTTTGGTCCTGCCCATCTTGCACTCGTTTTGTTGCACTGCTCAGGAAAGCTGAAGGCACGGCATCCCAGAGACTATCCCAAGAAATTGCCACATGATCCATGAAAAGCACCTGAAAACGACAGCAGAATCGCAACACGATTCCTCAACATGCCTCAGGCCGTTGGCTCGAAGCTGCAGCATTGGAGTCCCATCCTCAGCGGAGCCGCGATCCGCAGCGAGCCATGTCCTTCGGTTTGTCGTTGCTGCTGCTGCTGTTCGTGCCGGGCCTCCAGGCCTTGAGACACATCCAAATCCACCTGAAAACGAAGCTCCGAAAGCCGAAGCGGAACTGAAAGTGTAAAAAAATGCAGAAAAAATAGAAAAAAAACAGAAAGAGACAAAAAGAGACAGAGGTTTCATAGGAAAGACTGCTGAGACAAGAAGTCTGGTACTCAGAAAAATCAACACAACGGGTCAAGAAATCTTGCTGTTTTGTCTCACCGGCCTCCTCACCAGGTTCACCACATTACAAAACATACAAAACCACACCCACAATGACTTTCTGGGAATCCCATTGCCCACTGTCCCTGTGCACAGAATGTTTAGTGCCTCTTCATGTCTTCGTTTCTCTTCGCCGTCAAATTTCAATGTCGTGCCTGGCAAGTTGGCTCTCAGGTCATCTCGGCCAGGTGAGCACTCCACGCGACAGCCGCTGTCCCGAGAGTCATCAGGATACCCTGCCTGTTGCATACGCAGCATTTTCCAATCTCGCCTCTTCCTCTCACAGCCTGAAACATCCCGACGTGTCAAAAATGGGAATGTCTTACGTTGGCATATTTAGGACACAAGTAACAATGACATGAAAGGAACACAACACAAGTCAAGGTTTTTGTCAGGTGTTGGGCCGCCTCACAAGGATGCCATTTGCCTCCTGGTTCCCAGGTGCAGCATGGTGCAGCACATCTGGGTGTGTCACCTGATGGCACCCAGCAGTCCTCCAAAACCTCGAAGTTCGCGCTTTTCTGTCCCTTGCCTTGGCCAAAACGTAGTTCCATCAGTGCGGCAGGAGAAGTGGCGGCTAAGTCAAACTGTTCAAATTGGAGTACACTAAACATGTCAACTCTTTGTGCAAAACATGCGGTGATTCGAAAAAAATGAATAGATACCTTGCTCTTCTTAGGACATCTTGGCACTTGTGAGTTTCATCCGTGCTTCGGATGATTTTTCAATGACAAGTGAGGGTCTTAAAAGCTTGGTTCACAAAGTACAGGAGGTCCCCTATATTATTTGGTTGTTTATGGTGTGCTTTCTTCAGTGTGCAGCGAGTCGCGCCTACCATGATACCATCGAGGTCAAAGTCTGGCCAAGTTCCCAGGTTTTCGAATCTACAACTTTGGAGCATTCGGAATGTCGTGGCTCCAGTTCTCCTTTTTCTTGTTCTCGTTACCCATCGGGTTAGATCATGTTAAATCCACCCTCTGGCATCACCGAAGGCCCAGATGGCCCCATTGCTTCGGAAACTGTTTGGGACCCACAAAGTTTGCCATGTTTGGGGGCGTACTGTAGCCACCAGCTGAGCACGTGTACTTACAATTCGAGGTACTACTACTTACTACTTTTAGGGCGCCTAGTCGGTCAACTATGGATTAAGACATTCACCTAGTTTGCACCCGAAAGTGGCACCGTAATGGCTGGATGTTGATCCCTCATTCCTATGGTCCCGTGACAGCTCCATGATCCATGATCCATCCATTTCGAACCAGGAGCAGTGCTGAAAAATGATGTTTATTGGGACATTGTGTCATGAAGATTCATGAAGCCTCGCACGAACTGGGAGCATCACATCAGATTCATCTGATCTGAGTATATCAAAGTATATCTGAGTATGATCTCCATTTCTAACCAGTTACATCAGTTACTCAGTAAACCACCATAAGTCGCACCCTGGGGAAAGGTTTTAGTCCGGTGTAGCACCTGTCGCCAGGCTGCGGAAAGCTCCAGTGTCCCAGATGCCCTGGGCCAATGTGGGATTCAAAAGTCCAAATGGATCGAATTAAACATTGAATCATTATATAAATGGATTTTGACCAATAAGACATGTAACTAGTGATATGAATAGAAAGATAGTGGTGATCCAATGGATCTAGGCAGACGTGATACTCTGCAGTTCAGCCCATCGATGTAGATTGACGAACCATTGACAAACCATTGACGAAAAGGCGGGTCCAGTTTAGGAATCAACCATCGATCAACGACAGCAAATCATAGGAGCAAAAAGTCATCACAACTTGGGATCAAAGTTGAGCCCCCTAACACTGATTTTGACCCATCCCATCCACAGTACCCTTAAATTCTGCACCTATCCGCAACGGCTTCCTACTTTCGCCATGGCAAAGCAGAGAGGTTGCCGCATCGAGCAGCGCAGCAGTATTGACAGTGCTGAAAACGCTGGAAATCATCTTGGTTCCGAGGAAAGCATTTTTGGGACAGCAGTAATGTCACTAGGAAGTGTTGGCATGTATTGGTAGAAGAAATTCTGTCGCAGCTTGTCAAGTGCAAATTGAACGCCCAATTACCCAACAGAGACCTGCAACATACTTTAACTCGGAGGACATTCAGCCGGCTTGTCTGCTTCATAGTTTTGTCCTCCCCCTGTTTTCTGGTTCAATCATAATTTCTTTGGTTCAATCTTCATCATTGTTCCCAGCCGCATCATCCCAATGAACGCTTGATGGTAGAATGGCAGCTTGAACGGAGGGATCGGGAGATCTGGACGACACACAAGGAGCACAAGAAAAAACACAATATTCAAAAGAATGCAAACACACCCCCACTTGCCACAGCCATCAAACAATTAAACGCATGATTTCTACTCCACAGACTAATCACGATCCAGGTCCACATGTATCTTGCCGGTTCAAACAAACTGTTGATTAGTGGTCAGATAGAATACTCAGTGGCCATGTTTGGCATGATATATCCGCTAGTTTCAACTTACGTTCAATGCCTTCGCCTCCTTTGTCAACTCAGCTGTCAACCATTACAAGCAGCGAACTCGCCATATCTTTTTCCCTAGGCAAAGTGTGCATTGTACGCGCGGTCTGTGAGTCCTGCAACTCGCAGACCCCAAACTATCTACAACTTTGGGGTTGTCCAAAAATACGGGGCCATAAAACATCCAAAATTCATCACTTTTTATGTGGTAACCAATGGTTTGGTGTATTTTTGTGCCCTAAATTAAGAGGCATCCCCCATTTCTGGACAAACCTCATGCAATCATCAAAGAAACCAACCAGAAACCACCCTTCTTGGAACGAAAGAAGAAAGGTCAGAAAGGTCACAAAGTCAGCCAGACTCAGCCAGACTCAGCCGGAAATCCGGAAATCTTTTTCCAGTCCATCTGCACCATCTGAATCTTATCTGGCAACACCTGGATGTTGGAAACAAAATGGTCCCAGTTCTGCAGATCCCCGGTCGATATCTTTCTGCTGTGCATCGTCTCATTGATCATCGTCCTGACACTTGCAGTTGACTTAACAGACAGCCTTACAGCCGAGGAGTTAATTGGTGAAGCCAAGAGTTGGCAAAATTCTGGTCGGTCTCAACTGTTGGTTTTAGCTTATGGCCACTTTTATCATTGGAGTTTCTCTTTTTCTTTGGACTAACTATACTACCCGTACTGTCATCAATATAATATGAAATTGAGAATATGTAGGGACATGGTACAGCTGATATTACCAACAATATTTACATAATTTATATACCTTTATGTACATATATATATATATATGTATGTATGTATGTATATTATACATACATACCTGTATCGACTACACACAGGTTGTACATAGATTACAAATATAATGTACATATCAGTATAACCTGTGTAATATATAATCTTACAAATATAATGTACAAATATTAATATGTACAAATAATATGTATCAGTTATGTACAAATATTACAAATATATTATGGTGATATACTAATATAATAATGTTAATAATGTGTATCAGTAGAATATGTGTGCAGCCACCACACGTGCCTTGGCTACTTGGCCAGGAAACCAATCACCAGCGCGCCGGTGGCGATCAGTGCAGCAAAGCCAGCCGCCTGGGGATTCAACGGGGAAAGCGCCATGAATATAGGGGAAACCATAGGGAAACCATAGGAAAAATGTGGGGAAATGATGGATGATTGGACTCGACATGGGAAAATGATGTAAAACGACGATGAATACCATGAACTAGTGGATTTGGGGTATACCTAGGATTAATTTTCTGCTGACATTGGCAAGAACACCAGCTAAGATAAAGGCAAGGTGTCCAAACGCACCGCCTTTCGCTGACTCTCCTTTCACTGACTCCTTTCGCTGACTCATTTCCTAAGGTTAAAGCGAAAGAAACAGACAGGTTGGTTTTTGCTGCGGCCTTGTTGCAGCGAATTCTTTGCCATTCATCTCCAGCTGGGACGCGCTCTAAGATGTTGCGCACCACCTTCGTTCGACGTGCGGTGCTGAAACAAAAAAAAACCGACGGCTAATACTCAGAGAAACGAGGGAAGCATAGTAAATATAGTAGAATTTAGCAAAGCTCGAATTTCTAATTGACATAAGAAATCCCACATCAAGTCATATTGTCAGCGAAGGTTTGTGACATAATTGTAGCTCACCCAGATTTGAAAAACAAGTTTTATACTCCCAAATACTTCTTGGACACAACTTGTGTTTTCGAAAGTATGTCCATCCACCACAAATCCAGCGTGTGGAAAATGCGAGGTGAGTGCAGAAGTGCATCAAGGGTGGCCCAGCATGAACTGTGCCTTAGTGATAGCAGTCTGATAGCACTCTTCTTATTGGTGAGGACACCTAAAGGACCTAAAACGAGTCCTCTCTTGCCCAAACCCCTTTACAGCTCCAAACGTTGGCGCCTGTCGCCTCTCGGGTGAGGCATCTTAGCAAGGCAACGGCATAAGGAAATGGCAGGACTGTGACAAATGTCCAGGTGAAGTGCACATGACATGAAAGTGACACGTGCAAAATGTTACAACACATCCAAAACCAAAGGAATGAGTTCAGATTTGAGTGATTCCTGCCAAAACGGTTTTGTCATTGAGCCTGTAGTCTTCTTGAAAACAAAGCAAAACCTGAAGAAGCATTTGGTTGGTATTTGGTTGGTTTAGAAAATCTAGATATGAAACCATTGTCTTTACCAAACAGTGGTGGGGTCCTGGATTTTTCTCATTGACTTTTGGAAGCCAAGCAACTTTCTGGCAGCTCGTCTAAGAACTCCTGCACTCGTCCTCATTTTGCCCAGACATGGCCATGAAATTGCGGGAGGGAGTCTGATGCCACAACAAAACCGACGCCAGGTCAGGGTATGCCGGCGATGCCACAAATTCACAGACATGGCTCGTCGCCGCAACTGCAAGGGGCCGCGGCATTCTGGGCAGGTGGGCTCCTGCAGGCAATTGCAGTACAAAGCTAAGTGTGTTGACAAAACATGATTTATCTGATTTACTGAAATTTTACTCAAAGTCACATAATTCATTTTCTGAACTCAGGATTTATTAAATTGATTACTTTCCGGTCAAATCAACTTTCTTTCCATGATCTGGCAGTCCAAATGCGTCCTGGTTGCGGGATTCACAGGTCTGAATCCACTGAGCCAGGCAGGCGGCATGACCAAAGTGATGTCCTGCGGAGCCCGGCCCAAGTGATCCAGCAAAAGGTCCCAGGTGCAGTCCCAGCAGTGCAATGGTTAAATTGAAACAAAGTGATCCAATGTTGAAGAAAAACAACACCCAAATGCCAAACAACAGCCATTTCTTGAACGCCTGTAACGCAACGAACTGTGCACTGCTGAACTCCACCTTTGAAGATCTCGTCTTGTCCTGCTCCTTCGCAGCGCATGGCAGCATCGCTTGGGCTCAAGTGCTCTGTACCTGAGCTGTTTTTCTTTGAGCTCAACATACCGGTGAGCCAGAATTTGCAATGAAAATGGGCTAAATTCTCCGAAATCTGGGTTCGAGGACTCGGAAAACACAAAAAAATGGTTTAAGAAAATATGTTCCCAATTCAACTGCGCTATTTTTTTGAAATTACCTCCCTCTCTCCAAGTCTTCGTCACTCTCGACTGATGTCAATCCATTGCCAAATGGAATTGTTCAACCTCTCCCATGGAGTGAAGGACTATGCAAACGTGGAAACTGTTGTTTGTGTTTCCACATCTATCACTGGATTGGGTTTCTTGTTGTTTTTCCCCAGAAAACCATCGTTTTTGCAGTCACATTCAGATACGTTCAGGGGGGTCAGTTCAAATTTTCCCTCGCGCCATGGGAAGATGCAAATGGCGCAAAGCCCAATGCTGCGCATGTCGGAACCGCGAGGGACTGGTGGTGAACTAACCTGGAGCAACAAAAACGGGGCTAAAACCCGTGTGGGACAATCTGATGGGATAATTTTTTGGGATATACACATATGTATGGGTATATATATATACTGTATGTATATATATATATATACTGTATATACTGTATATATATACCAAACAAACAGGACAACAGGATCTTTCAAGGGCCCTGCGTTTGAAACATTTGATTTCAGTTGTTTTTACTTAAAACGCTGAAATAGCATCAATTTGACGGTTCCTCTCAATTAACACGCGGGGCCAGCAACCAACAGAAAACCAATCAAAACAGCAGAATTGTGCAATCATGTTAAATCAAATGCCGTTTTTCCATATTTTTGCACTAGACATTTTGGTAACGACATTTCGCCTGCAAAAAGTCCAGTGCCATTTGCACAGTTCCATCACCACTGCTTAGGGCGTGCTCAGCGCGATGCCGGTCATAGCCTCGGGAATCCACGGGATGTTCAACTTCCTCCATCCATTTATCTAACATCCTGTTGATCAGTCTTGTGTGTCTATGATTCGATACATAAACACATCTTTTCAGGTGTTCAGGTAAATGAGTTGACGATCTCAGAAACAAAACTGGCATTTTTGGATATGCGGCATGTCCAAGGGCACGTAGTGGCCGGTTCCAAAGGCATGTTCTAAACAGAAGTTTCAGGAATATATTTTTCTGTGTGAAAGTTGTCACAAACACCACAGTTACATACAATTTGCACTTTGCTCCTGAAGATGTCCTGATAAAATTAAGCCTATATATAAAGGTTGGATGCACTCGCAACACCACATCAGCACCACTGGCAGGATCAGCAACCCATCTCAATGAGCTGGGAAAGAGGATCGTTCCTTTCCTCACAAACGATGCTTTCATCAGGGGTATTTAGGTGCCAGCCGAACCACCAGAAACTTTGGGGTCCACATGCACATCTGGAATCCCGACATAACAAACATTGACCAAGTGGCAGTGTATTTTTTTTCAAGTGAATTGTTCAATTACATGCTGTTCATTCAAAATCAAGACATGAGATATCCCCGATTTCCTCATCTTAATTCATGGTGCATCATGGTGCATCCTTTTGACCACCCTCGTCCTGCACGGTTTCCATCAGCAGCGTTGCGGCTTGGTCTATGTCGCCATCACAATGGGACAGCGCAGCGCTGCAGCTGTCCACGTGAGCACCGCAAACCTGGCAGGGTCTCACAGTCCCAACATGGTCCAGTACCAGGTCCCAATATATTAATATATGATATATATATATATATATATTGATATATATATATATATATTACTAGTTTATATGATATAATATCAAACTAGTAATTTGCACTTTTGATGTTTCGCCAGTCCCAGTTCACCGGCTTGTGGAATTGCACTGAACCTCCGAGAGAATCAGCGCTTGTTGGTCCATGTTGCACCAAGGCGAAGCCTTGAGGGTGAAACGGCTCCAAAACCTGCGGTCTGCTCAGGTTCAACAAAGGCGAACAAGGTGAAACTCAATCATTTTGAGATCAACCCTGTCATATTGGGGGCCATGCTGACTATGGAGAGCGATTACCTATGGGTAATTCATGATGGCCCAGTATTTTCACAAAATCTGTGTTTGTGGACTTGTTAACAAGAGGATGAATGCCAGGTTCACGGCCAAACGTGGCACAACCACTTGGCAATTGAGCGTGTTTCCCAATGCAAAAAAAACAAATTGAAATTAGTGATGTTTCATGCCAACCAGATCCGTCACCAGACTTGCCATGGGATTTGTTGCATATATCTGCGAGCATTTGCTGGAAACAAGATGCGGCCCAGGAACCCGCATGCTCACACGTATAAGCATGGTACAGATGTCAAAACACATAAAGATGCAGTTGCGTAAAACACCTTTGTGAAACAAACTATTTCAACTGCTTTGTACCTTCTTCCCCTGTTTCAGTACCGGTGTAGACTGCGGAGCGCGGATTGGAATGGAGCGCAGAGCATGCAGTGTGAAGACGGTGGGGTGCCGAAGGGGGAATTTAGTGTGTAGGTTGTGAAGTCGGGTTTTCCGAGTGTGAAGTGCCGATTGTAAAGTGCAAAGTGTGGAGTGTAAAGTGTAGAGCGTGCGGAGTGTAAACTGTAAAGTGTAGTATGGGGTGTAGAGCGTGGAGTGTAAGGTGTAGAGTGTGGAGTGTAGAGTGCGGAGCGTCAAGTGTAAATTGTGACGTGTGAAGCGTCGAGTGGGGAATGTAGTGGGAAGGTTGCGATGTGGGGATTGTGGGAGTGTAAAGTGTGGAGTGTGGAGTGTAGAGCCTGGAGTGTAAAGTGCAGAGTGTAGAGTGTGGAGTGCGAAGTGTCAAGTCAGTGTAAAGTGTGGCCTAGGGGTTGTTAAGGGTAGAGTGTGGACTGTTAAGTGTAAAGCGTCAAGTGTGGAGTATAGAGTGTCAAGTGTAAAGTGTGGAGCGTAGAGTGTAAAGTGTACAGTGCGGAATGTAGAAAGCGGAGTGTCAAGTGCAAAGTGTGAAGTGTAAAGTGTAGAAAGTAAAATGCGGAGTGCGGAGTGTAAAGCGTAGGGTGTGGAGTGCAAACTGTAAAGTGTAAAGTTTAGAGTGCGGAGTGTAAAGCGCAAAGTGTAGAGTGCGGAGTGTACAGTGCAGAGTGTAGAGTGTGGAGTGTCAAGTGTAAACTGTAGAGTGCAGAGTGTGGAGTGTAAAGTGCAAGGTGTAAAGTGTAAAGTGTGGAGTGCAAGGTGTAGTGTGCACAGTGTGAGGTGTAAAGTCTAAGGCGCAAAGTGTGAAGTGTAGAGTGCGGAGTGTGAACTAGTGAAGCAATGAAGTAGTGATGTAATGAAATACACTCTAACCATGTCCACGCAATTTGCGCGTTTTCCCCACGTGACGCAGCCCTGCCAATGCGATTCGCAAAAAGAGGCAACAGCACACGTCTAAAGTGCTGCGCTTGCCGCGCAAAATGAGCATGGAGGCCTCCAAAGTGCTCGGGTTTGCCACGAAAATTGGAACACGGGCAACCGATGAGAAATTATAACCCTAAGTCACAGGAACATTCAAGTGTTCCTCAACATGCTTGAGGTCTACTTCGAAACCAGGTTCAGCGTAAACCAGCCACTGCTTGAATGAGAAAGCAAAGTCTAACCGGTTAGCCTGATCTTCTGTCGAATTTTGAGCTCCCAAAACTTGTAGGACACTTCACAACCTTGCTAGCTTCTGCAAAACCACTTTTCTGCGCTCTTGCTTGGTCGTTGGATTCTTTAAGGGCTTGGGCTGCTTGGGCAGCGGCATCAGCAGCACGTGTAACTGCTTCCAAGATTTGTGAAGCTTGGGCACCAGACATCCGTTCCAGTCGCCAGAAACAGCCAAATCTGTAAATTCAAATCCAAAAATCCCCAAAACCAGCAATGCAACGCGGTGAAACGTGTTCTATCCAGAGCTTCCAACGGCAAATGTCCTCACCAGAAATGGAGCCACGTATGGCCAGTCTCAGCAATGATTGCGCCTGCAGAAACAAAGGCAAGGTATGGCAACGGGGAAGCCTTTTGACCTCGAGGTTCAGAGGTCCTTGGAGGCTTGGGTCCTGGCCTCCTTTTGAGCCCTCACCAGAAACCTCAGGAGTCTGGATCACTGGGCTCCGCTACCATGCAAATCTTTTTGGAACCGAAAGCGCCTCAAAGATGCAGTATCGGCTGAACATGCTGTGACAGGCATTTATTCCCTTTACAAAACCACCCAAGTGTGAACCAGGGAACGCAGAACCAGAAGCTGGCAATGTCAAAAGACATATAATCTGACTCCACGTAAATTAGTATTAAACCAACTCTTCATATCCACATATATAAATATATATATATATGTATTGTACATCATACGCAACGTCGAGAAACGCGCCAATGAAAAACAACGTGCAAAAATCCGACATGTGAAGTTTCCAAAAAAATCAAGTGCAAAACGGACATGTGAAATTCTGAATCAACTGCAACTGAGTGAAGGATCGCCGCTCTTTCTTTTTCTGCAAGGGGGTCTATTCAAGCTCCAACCGGAATGATGGGATGCAACATCGAGCACCCGCCATCACAGGCTAAGGGTTAGGCAGCAACAGACGGAAAGCCGTCTGGTTTCGGAAAACAGTTTCAATCAAATGTGAAGTCGTCGTAAGAAAATGTCATAAAGACGATGTTCAAGCCCACAAATGGCTCGATTGCACATTTGCAAAAATCGTTGAAGTTCAGCATGAATCTGGTCCAAAAAGACCACGATGAAATGCCCGTCAAATCCCATGTCTTGCAGAAGGTCCACCGTTTCCTCGACGTGGCACTGCAACTGTAAGACTGTCATTCGAACTTTCGCAAAGAAAAGCAATTGGCTGAGCAAGATTTGCAATCGCATAACACTGGTGTGTCGTCTGGCACGTAACATGTAAGGTAGGTATGGAAGTTCAAGAGGGTGGTTGTGGGAGGGTAGAACGCTTGAACCGCAGGACTGACATATACAAAGATATTAAACCTACCCAGAGGAGTGCAGAACGGATTTTCAGATTTCTCAGTGACTTTTGTTTCAACAAGTTTAAACAAAACCTTGACAACCTGAGAAAAGGATAAACGAAAACCACCAACTCTGGAAAAACAGCAGTTGTGGAAATTCAAGTTTCGATTTGAAACAGTTGAGTTTTGGTTCACACTTGTTGGGTTTCTTTTGCCTCACAAAAACAGGCAAAAGATTTTGTTGCAGGGAATAATGTTATCATCCTTGCAGGAGCGCTAACTTATTCCCTTTACAAAACCACCCAAGTGTGAACCAGGGAACGCAGAACCAGAAGCTGGCAATGTCAAAAGACATATAATCTGACTCCACGTAAATTAGTATTAAACCAACTCTTCATATCCACATATATAAATATATATATATATATATATATGTATTGTACATCATACGCAACGTCGAGAAACGCGCCAATGAAAAACAACGTGCAAAAATCCGACATGTGAAGTTTCCAAAAAAATCAAGTGCAAAACGGACATGTGAAATTCTGAATCAACTGCAACTGAGTGAAGGATCGCCGCTCTTTCTTTTTCTGCAAGGGGGTCTATTCAAGCTCCAACCGGAATGATGGGATGCAACATCGAGCACCCGCCATCACCTCCATCTGAGCTTGTGCTCGACTGCTTCCAGTGAGCATATGACCACGTCCCATGCGCACTGGCTGTGCACAGCCCCACAAGCTTTCATGTCTTCAACATGTCCACGACTGGGGCCATCAGCTATGTTTGCGTGGCTGCAAACTCTTCCAAACCACACCTTCCATTGATGTTGGTCTTCTTCTTGCACAAAGAGTTGGATCACAACGTTTCCAAGAAGGGTGGAGGAGTAGGCTTTGACCAAGGCCATTCGAGAGGCTTCGTTGTCGATGTACATCACGATGTACCTGCCAAACGTCTGGCCACCCCAAAGAAAAGCGGCAACATGCACCGCCAACAGCTCTACCAGGTAAATAGGATTTTCCGCCTCCTTCAGGAAAAATTCCATTAGCAGGTTAGGGACCCGCTCACTGAAGTAGCTGAGTGCTGTGCCGTTATGATCCAAGAGGACTCCACCAATTGACCCGATGCCTGTCTCTTCATCGAAGGCTCCATCGGTGAAGATAAGAATAGCCTGCTCCGTTGTGGCAGTAAGTTGAAGAGGAGCTCCATGTTCAACCCTGTGTCGGAGGAATTCCAAGGAGGTTCTTAGTTCTGCATCAAGTTTGTGTCCCTGCCTTCCACCTTTCATCAAGGCTCTTTTTCCAAGTCGGTGAATAGCAAGGTTTGCCGTCCGGCCAAACAAGAAACTTTCAAACCACTGCGCTCTGCCCTTGAATGACTCGGCCTCCTTCGGGGAAAGCTCATTGGATCTCAGGATCGATGTTATTCTCTCCAGCAAGTCTGACCTGCGTTCAGGCGTGTGCTTTATAAAGACAACACCTTCGTCAAACCCAGCCAGGTCGAAGATGAGGCCCAGTGCTCTCATCTCGTTGCTGAATGGTTGGTTTTTCTTGCCCTCCTTTGCATATTGCATTCCAAGCAAGTCGAACAGGAAGCCAACGCACTTATCCGTCTGAGCGGCTGCTGCATCGGCTGCCATTGTTGGGAAGTCATCAAAGAAAGCGCTGCACCATACCTTCAAGCCCACGCTCAAGACATAAAAGAGGGCCGAACTGACCCTGAGGAAACCAGCAACACTACCCGTCGCCCCAAAAGGGAGGCTGTTTAAGCCATAGAGCTTCGCCTGGCAAGCGCTAGGATCGCAAATTGCTATCCTGAGGTGCTGGCGGTCTGTAGGGTGGATTGGATATTGTTTGTATGCGGCTTTCAAGTCAAACGTTTTTCCTTTCAAAGCAACCATGTTCGACTTCTGATTCAAGACAAGCGCTCTGATCAATGAAGCTGCAATGAAATCCACCCCATGCAAAGTGAACTTCTCAGGAAGCCCGCAAGCGTCGTTCAAACCACACTGCTTGAAGTTGTCGATGACTCTCACCTTTTCATTCTGCCTCAGACCAAACCGATGTGCAATGATTTTGTTGTGAAGATCACCAGTTGTGTCCTCCCAGATCCATTTTCGCTCGCATTCCGCTTGAGTTTCTTCCCAAGCGGCAAGGTGTAACTCTGCATCTTCGGGTTCTCTGACACGCTTAAGCACGGCTTTTTGCAAACCAAGAGAGGACTTAAGGAGGGCTTCCAAGGTTAGTTTAGGAGGACGGGGCAAGCTCATAAACACCTGCGAATCTCTCATCCAACCTGACAATCTAAAGCCTGAAATTATGTCGCTGAAGAGGTTTTTGTCTGGGAACTGCAGGTCCTCCAGCATCTCCTTGAAAACCAACAAACGCTTCCCTTGTAAAACGTGTCTGACATGTTCTCCCAGATTCAGTCTGAGATTTCGTTCATTCCTTTCTAACTCTTTCGCTCTTTTCACCCATTTCTTGAAAAAGGCTAGTCTCAGATCATCCAACCCGCAAGCATGATGGTTTAGGTTTGTCCGCAACAAGTCATCAAGCTGTTCTGAACCCGCGTATGGCAAGAATCTCGGATGCCCAACCTGTGCAGCCTTTTTCACAAAATCCCAAGGTTCTCTTGGGATTCCAAACGTCACAAGCTCAACCTTTGTCTCATTGCTAACATGAAATCCTTCCAAGTATTTCAGAGATTCACCAGTTAAGTCGGAAACCCGCTTGTCACCCCCAGTAAGAAGTTTCCGGTCGGTTATCCGAGCTCCTTTTGTGAGTTGTGGCAGAATGCGGCTTGCATCCATATCTGGCCTGACAGCAAATTGTACGTAATGACCAAGCTCGCTGACCAAAGGTTTCAGCTTTTGACCTCGGGGAAGTAAGCCCATAGCAACCGAGTTGATTGCTGTAGTGCGTCGCTGGGCAATCTGCTGTGTTATGGTTTGCGGTTGTTCAATGCCTTGCGCTTGCAAATCAGCAATTAAAAGTGCTGCCACTCTCTGACATAGGAGCTTTGGATACTCCGCTTCATCCTTTGTAGGATAATGGACACCATCAGCTGTCAGAGTCGGTGTCCATGGCTTGTGAGGGTGATCCCCTGAACAAGGCAAATTAAATGAAGAGAAAAACTGGTCATTGCACCACCAAGTTGTCTGTTTCTGTCTCTCACCGCCCATCATACAGTTGTGAAAAATATTGCAGTGTCCCGGATGCGCTTGCACAAGTTCTTGAATAGGATCCGTTTTCCAAAAGAGGCTATTGGTGGGGTTTTCCATTGAAACTCGTATACCCAGTGAAATCGCCAGTAGGGCTAAATCCCTTGTTGCAAAGTACAGTTTATTGGCTTGTTCCACTTTATATAAATCAAAACCTGCAATCCCTGGGAGCCACATTGGAAATTGTTCGGAACGCAACTGCTGTGGCGGAGTTATTCCAGCGTCTTTCAACTTCGCTTGCACTTCTGAAGGCAACTTTCTTTTTCTTGCGGCTGAACAGGTTCCACACGGTGGTGCAAAATGAACCAGGCAGAGGTTAAGAGCCTCCTGCCGAATGAAATCCATCAGGAACTGCAAGTCTTCTGGCGCGGTGAGGTCCAAAATTGTGATAGGCCCTTTCGCTCTCTCCGTACCTTTGTCGACAGCCACTCCACGCAAGTTTGTTTTGCGCACCTCGATTGTTAGTGAAGAAGTTCCAGCGAAGACCTCCAAGAAAAGGATGTTTTCAAACAGAACCTTTCGAATTGTGGCACCACTTGGATCTTCAGTGAAACATTTTTCAGCAGTCTGTTGTTCAGCATCGCTTGAGTCGGTGACACTATCTTCCAACTGGGCGCCTTCAGGCGTGTTGGGCATCTCCTGCAACAAATTGTGATGTGAAACTGTATCTGATTGATTCGGGCCCTTTTGTCAGTGGGGGGAAGACTTCCCCGGTGCCGCTTTGCATTGCTGAAACGAATGACCTGTCTTGCGACAGAAGGCGCAAATGTGAACTCCTCTTCTGCACTTGGGAGGCTGTCCAGATGCCTCAAGGGAGCGTCCATTCTTCAGATTATACGACCAACAAATCGGCTTGTTGTCCGATGTATGCTGATAGCACCCTTTGAGCTCATCAGGAGGAGTAGGGGCTGTCCTGTTCTTCTTGCTGGGTCTAGCCTTTTTCTTTGGCTGCACCGTAGAAGGTGTCGTGGCTGAGGTACTGGCTGGCCGCGTCGGCACTGAGGAAGCTGGCCCTTTGTTTGGAAGGGACAGCATATACATGGTGATGCGAGGGTCATGCATCAGCTCTTCCTGTCGGAGAAAGAGATTGAAACCCCACTTGGTATGGATGACATTAAGCAGAAGTGGAAGTGGGCAGACGTAGGCTCCCGTCGAATGCCTCGAGCGCCCCTGACATACCCAACAGTAATGGTGGACGAAGGGAATGGAATCCGCTGCCCCGCAGCCAGCCAGGTCCATCACAGGACACTCTTCCAGTGGATAGTAGACAACCTCTCATGGGTATCGCAGTATGACACTGTCTATGTCTTTGTGGACAACCGCACGCTGTCAGGAACCAATCCTCCTGACTACTGGCAGCATTTTGCACCATGGATCAAAGGCAGATGTGCAGTCACTGGACCTTATCGAGAAAAAACAACTGCTATCCATATTCCCATCAACGCTAATACAGGTTTGCATCAGGTCCATTATACCTGGGCTGGTGCTGCGGTCCTGGAGGCTCTGTGCTTAGTCTTTCCCACTGTGAACTTTGCACTCACGGACTCTGATTGTGTGCCCACCTCGCTCTTTGAGATAGCCGAACTGGTCAATCTCATGACAGATAAGGCGAGCAGAGCCGAGGCAATGCAGCACTGTACTATGGCCAGTTCCAGCCAATACCCGCCGGCAGTCCTACTCACAACCGAAGCAAAAGCAGAACTCAATGCTGGATTGATTATAGTTACAGGACATGCTCCGACCTGCGCAACAGATGTCGACATGGACCAGGAAACCTCAGATGCTAGCATGCCACCAAGCGATGCCGCCGGCTCCTCTGCGAGTGATGCGCCTGCCCTCAAAGCAAGACGAATAGTCCATCCAGCCAACAGCAGATCGGCGGACGAATGGGTCATCGCACTTTGCAACAGTCGAGCCAATTTCCTAGCCACCACAGCTGTGCCAGAAGACCCTGCGGAAGCAATAAGAGGCGGACTAGTTCTTACCCCCTTACTTGGATGTAAGGCCAGAACCCCACTAGACTGGACACATGCCTGGGCAATGCTAGGGGAATGGGCTGGAATCATTGCATTCCCTATCCCTGAACAAGGAGAATGGCCTTGTCACGGAGATGGTCGCTACTTACGGCCGGATTTTGTCCAGCGAACCCCGCCCTTCCTCACATGGGCCCGTCCCATCTTCGAGCAGGGAGCACTCTCCCCCATGTCTGTCTTCCCGGCTAACTTCCCCATACTCTGCCTCCCGGGGGACAAGCTATTCCAAAGCAAGGAGTTAGATGATGGGTACAGCCTTCCACCCGTTGTACATGCCTTCCATGGGAGCAAAGTTGGCCTCGGACAGAAGCTCCAACAGTGGCAAAGTAAAGGGCTGCAACCACTTGCCGTTTCGCTCATAGGGGTTGACGAGGCACCACCGCTATGGACACACCCCACAGGCTGCGATTTCGTCAGAGGAAGTAAACTGGTAGCAAAACCGCACGTCGGACAACAGCGCAGCCTTACCAAGACGCAAGTATTGCTGCTCCAAAGCCTTTGGACGCCAGTGGAAGTCCCTAATTGCAACAACGACCACACACCCTGGCCCCAGACCTGCCAAACCGCCCACGTCCTCTGCGGACAGCAAGCTAGCCTCCAACTGCCCACTGCCCAGATCCTCCCTCTTCTCGAGGCACTGCAAAAACGACTGGGAATTGACCCCAGCAACGCAGAACTGGCCATTAACGAAGTTCTTGCCAGCCATGCCGACCCTCAATACACTGATTGGAAGATCATTATCATGGATAACACTGCCTGGCAACTCAATCCCACTGACCCAGGGTCCCTGGATGTTCAGTGCACTGGATTGGGTGGAGGAGAACTAGACCAAGAGTGGGATGTACTGCTAGCTTGCAGAAAGGAAGCACATGTTTACGGACCATCTCTCAGCAAGCAGGATGATTGGAATGCAAGAGCTGGCACAATTGCAGGAACCGCCCACACCCAAGAATACTTGCTACTGCATATAGCCATGTTCCCAATTGGTGCCCACACCTGGTGCCATGTTCTCGGAGTGCCCGACGCCCACCAACTGCAAGCACAGATCATCAGCCGTGCCATGAAACTCCTACGTTTCTGTCCCATCACCCCGGCGCACAGGAAACCACCATGGCCAGGGTACAAGCACGGCCTGCGACTCTTTACCAAACTGCTGGTTGCGCATCCATTGGTCGGAGTGTGCCTGCCCCCCGAAATCCGTTCTGTGGAGTATCTCAAATTAACAGGTTACATGGTAGGCTCCCCTCCTCACGAGGCAACCGGCAAACAGTTCTAGCAGCCATTGCTCTGCCGCCATCGCTCCTAACGACACACAGACTGTCCCATCACCGACAGGTACACCTCATCCACCATGCAGATGATCGACTGTGCGTCTGGAACCCGTCCAATCAAGACATGAGGCTGCTCCAACAACAGGGGTTCACAATCACACACATCACAGGGTGGCGAGTATACCTAGGCACTGCCCAACACAACTACCCGCACTGGACACGAGTTACCCTTCCAGAGGGACGACAGGACATAGCACAGTTGGAGAGTACCCCAGGGGTGCTTCCCTTTGAAGTTTACTCACAAGCCCCCCTGCGGTTGATATCATGGTGCAGCTTTGAACTCCCACAGGCAGCTAAGCGTCTCCTTCGTAAGTTAGCAATGATGTGCGAGTTACCAGAGACCACAACCCAGGCACTGGTCAGCCATATTGCCATACACAACTCACAGGTACGAACGGAGCAAGATGCAACTCAATATTTGGCCTCATTGGCGACAGTCAGCATTGCGTCTAGGGCCAAATTGCTCACTTATACAACCATGGTTCAACACTTCCTTGGCACCCTACAACTGCCTGTGGCTGTCTACATGCTAGACTACTATCTGCCAATGCTCAGCCCCAATGAAGGCTACAATGAGACGGGGCTTACAATGCAGAGTGCTGGACCAATTCGTGAACCATGGCAACCAATTGCATTCGAATTTCTTTTCAAAGGCAGTGAGTTTGGTCACTGGAGAGTTAAAGGAGGACAGGATGCATTCGCGTTCCGACACCCGAGCCTAGGCCAAACAGAAGTCTTCAGCCTCCTAGCAAGTGAGGCACACCACCACAAAGTTAGCCCCATAGGCACGGGAAGACTCGTTGCAATGGTAGGAACCACAGATGCTCCAGCGGGCGACGTCAGAAACCTGCAAATCCTTTTTGGGCTAGTCCTTGCTATCACGCCACGCTCATCCAAAAGCAAGGATGAACTGCCTGCCACCCGAATACACAGGCAGTGCAACCCCAGATCCATCGAAGTAGCTTTTCTCTCAGGGCCTGCCATCGACTTCTTTGCCCAAGAACAATTCCTGGTTCTTCAAGACTGGTATCTTGCCTCTGGCCAAAGCCTGGAACCCATCGATGCTACCGTTAAAGGGGACGGAGGCCCACTCTCAGGCACCTTTTTCCTCCATACTATGTGGATGTTTGGATGCACCAAGCCCACCAGAGAGGTAACTGCTGTCGCACAGACTCCCCCCTGCAGGTACGACCTTGGCCTAGGCATCTATAATGTCCAAACAGCAGTTGAAGGAGTGGATGGCAACAAACGATCACACTTGCTACATTTGTGCGGGCAGTTGCTACGCCTGGTCCTTATCCCATGTCATGTGAAGGGCGAACCCCATCAATGGACCCGCACAACTGCACTTTCCTTCGCTGCCGAACTAGACGGACATGTCTTGGGCACGCTATGTGCAGTGACAATGGCGTTACTCACCAATCGGCTAGACCTGTGTATTCAAGGACTCTTTGGTGCAGGCAAGTCAAAATCGATGGCAGTCCTCACATCCTTGCCTTGATTGAAATCGACACCACTGACAGCCTCAAGATATTGTTTACAGGCAAGGAAAACTCAGGCACTCGATCCTTTGCTGACCTGCTCCTATGGCTCGACCCCCCGTCGGGGGTGTTTGGGCGCATAGGTAGGTTGGTGGGGGACCAAGAACGTAACAAGAGCAGTTACTCCCATACTAAATTCGATATTCATCCCAGAGAAAGAAGGCAAATCCTGAAAAGTGCCAGCTAGTGTTGGCTACAGGGGGTACGGTAGCCCAGGATCTCACCATGCAATGGTCCACGCTAGGAGGTTTCATGCAAGAGCTTTCCCTCATGGTCATTGATGAAGGGCAACAATATGGCACTGACCGGGAAATTGCAGTCATCAGCCTGATGAGGCAACAACCCCTAGTCCTGTGGACGGGAGACTCAGAGCAGACGCCAGGAGGCATTGATCGTGCAGCCCGTAACGCTAAACGATCCCGACAACTCCTCTTATCCAAAAAACATGGGCTGCGAAGTGACCGGAATTACTATATGCCAGCTAATTTAGCAGATGCAATGATCCGGCTATTGGACGGCTCATCCAATGAAGGTCTAACTACCCTCAGCCAAATCCTCCGTCGAGGCCAGCACACGTTGGGTCAGCTATGGACAAGCCAACTCTCGCCACAAGCTACCGAAGACCTAAAGGCGGCCAATGCTGTCCTTCCAGGCCTGAGAACACAATTTGAAGCCGCCCAGCCACATGAGCAAAGACAACCCCCCACATTCGTGGACGCAGAACTACTGGCAGG